TACAAGATTGCAAGATTGTACATTAGTATTCCGTCACGCGTGCGCGCCCCTTAGAATATTCCACAACTATGTTATAATATAAGCCGGGAATATATATCTTGCGATGTACCGGTCGACGAGTATATAAACCGCAATATAATGTCAGACTGTTAAGCACGAAGTATGTCAAAGGGCAAGAAAGCCACGCGGCCAAAGTTTATCCGACGCTTCTAAGTATGCCACGCGCAGAGTAAATCGGATATTGTTGGAATTTGAATTTCTCGCATCTTAAAACGGAAACTTATAATTAACAATTAAATTGTGTACGACGGGTTTGTTGTTTCGTTATAACGCGCGCGCGCGTGCGCGCGCGATGTCATCGTGCGCGACGAGTAAAATTGAACGAAACTTCAGCGTGAGACCTGGGTCTCAGCCACAGTTGAAGGTTTGTATACATTTATATTTAGAAAGGGTTTTTCCCTCCGAACGCGCCAGCAGCGGGTGTTAAACCCAGTCTGGCGATAAAAATGAAATCTGAGTAATACCATGACGAGTCACGTCGATTTCATTCAAACTTCCTGTACACAAGAAGATCTCGCGTAACGTATCTATCTCTCCGGAGACGCGCGCTTACGCACGACGGATGTGGCATTGTTCGCCATACGGTATTATATTCTTACGCAAACACGACTGCGTATATTTACGCAGTCGTGTGCTTGCGACACAGAGCGACAAAAGTCGGATAAAAAAAATGGAAAAAAAGACGAACGTACATACGTCCGCACGTCAACGTGACAAACGGGAAATCGAGCGATTTATCCTTTACGTAGATACGCAAGGTTTCGTATTACGCGTATACGCGTTGCGGATCGGAAAGGCAGCCGCTTTCCGACACTCCGCTCGCATCTGGGTCGACGGGAGAAATAATCGTGGGACACAGATCGCAATTTGTATAATTGCATAATTGGGCGCGCGCGCGGAACGACTCGGCACGGAAATTGTAGCGTGTTGCGCGCAAATACAGAATTTGCGCGTAATTATTTTTTATATACGTCTCTCTCTCGCCGTGATGTCACTTGTCTCTCTCTCTCTCTTTTTTTTCGCCGAACAGTTTTCCGCCCAACGGCTAGGTAAGACAAAACGTGCGCGCGAGTTACAAGAAGCGGGAGAAATCCGATCGGAGAAGGAGAGCGATGTCGGAGCGCGGAACGGATTATTTGCGGTGAAGCGAAATTACGGCAGCAACTTGTTGGGTTCTCTCTCTCCCGAAACGAAGTTTCGCTATTTTGTTCCTCTCGGAACGCGCGACGTAACGATCGACTCGTCTCCGATTATCGGTTTTCCCGGTGGAAATTGGTCCGGTCGCGATGCGCCACGTATTTTCCCGCATAAATGTTGCGAAGTTTTTCTTTGAGGGATAACTTTCCGTTCCGAGAAGCGATATCCGTCGCATCGGAACGGTGTTGTCGCAACCGACAATTTTACTTTCTCGGTACGGAACCACAAAAATCACCGATTTCGGTCAGCGAATTTGTTTCAATTAAAAACGTTTCCGAGAATCTCGTTCAGTATTTTTTTCACAAACGCACAATTCGCAAATATCATCATTGCTTTTACAAAAATAATCGTTTTTTTTTTTTTTTTTTAATATATATATATATTTTATAAACGTGCGCGAAGTAATTGGAATTTTTTTATCGCAACGAAAGAGAGAGAAAAAACGAGAGAGAACTCGTTAGATTTTTTTCAGAAAAAACTCACGAATAAACTCTAATAAATACAATTAAAATACAGAGAACCTTTGCTGTGAATCTATCGCGTCTGTCGCGCGTGCGCGCGATCTAGCACACGTTGCAAAAAAATCTCGAAAGTTTTTGACAATATTATTCATCCGCGTTGATTTTTACTCAAATTTTGTCGTTTTACTGTGTGTTCTTTCACGCTGCCGTGCACGTACAACGCGAATAGATCTCGCGCCTCAATATCAATGATCGGAATTCAACAAGGAACAAAGACGATTTATGTTTCGCGCGGCGTCAGACGCCGACGTACGTATACTTCCAGGCGCCCGACGTTGTTTCGTCACTGATGATAAGCTTCTTGAAAACTGCACGTGCCGCGACAACGCGGCGCGAAAGATAGGAGCGCGGAGTCGTGCTCGGGTAATGCACAATTATTAAATATACTCACATCTCTTTCTCGAGAGAGAGAGAGACAGATAGATAGATAGAGTGAGAGAGAGAGAGAGAATTGTCGTGCTCCGAACTGAACGTTTTGTTCCCAGCTACGATATCAATTGAGTCTCTTCCGTTCGTTGTAAAAAAAAAAAAAGATATCAATTCTTAAAAAAACAGAAATAAGTTCTTGCGTTCTAAATATTTGCGTAAAAACGTCGGAGTTCGTCAACTAATGGACAACTATCGTTTCTTCTAATGCTGAAAAAAAGGTCATTTGTGGCGATGATTAATCTTCGTTCGGCGCCCCGAGGTTTCCGCACAATGAGCTCTCGAGTGGCGGAGAGTGAGCAAAGCGACGGGGATAAAGTACCACAGTGTGGCATACTACAGGGAGCACTATAGAATAACGGGAGGAAGGTTAAAGGTCAGACGTCCAATTCGCGTGTCAGGTCACAGAGTCACCCTGCGGACGAACGCACGTAAACTCGTGCGCGCGCGCGCGTGTGTGTGTGTGTGTGTGTACCCAAGGTGCTGACAATAATTTTCCATCGCGGAAAAAGAAATTTCATTCAGCACGCGCACACGCGACCCGGAATCCGCCAAAATTGATAAATGTAGCGCGCTGTCCTCATGAATAAACTCCTCTCCCCCTTTTCCCGTCAATATCTCAGCGTCCCACGGGAGAGAAGAACGCGCGGAAAAATTAAATAAATCAAAGTCAAAGGTCACTCGCGCGTGGGTTTTACGCGCAAATTTTCAGAAAACACGGTTTTTCCCATTCTACTTTTTTCCTCGCATTTTTTTCGTTCATTCATTCCCGGATATAGAGTAACAAAACACACACCGGGGCAACAATGAAAAGTGAGTTACACATTTTGTTTAAATTCTATTGGAAATTGCGAATTACTTGCGCGAGAGAGCTATTGATTGTCGGAGGAAAAAGTTTCACAGCTCGAGGGCTGTGCGTATCGATCATCCGGGAGTGTGGCGAGTGAATTTCATAACAAACGAAATAACAATGCGTTTGCAAAAAAAAATAAATAAATAAATATAGATTCCGCGCTGCAAAATTTCGAAGTTCATTACGACGCACGAAAAACACGCCCGACACACGTGCGGATTAACAGAGTCATGTGTCGCCAATGATAAAGTGTCTTTGAAATTGGGTTTTGAGATTGGCGAGATTTAATTGCGGTTTGAATCGCGCGCCACATAAATTCGCACGAGAGCAATAATCTTGTTAAGTGATAAAAATAAAAAATGTCACGCGCGCTCGGACAACATTTGTTTTTACGGTAATTTTTTGGTTATAAATAATATTGAAAATAATTTTTGCAATAAATTATCATAGAAAGAATGTTGTTTAGAATGTTATTATTTATTAATATATACATCGTAACCGTCATGACACGTTTTAATCGACCACCAGCAACTGAACTGTCAAGCTATTTGTCGGTAATGCAGTTCGGAACGTCGCTGCAGATGGCAGCTCGGATCAGAAACTTTATTTTCTGCTCACGCAAGTGTAATTAGCAACGCGAACCAGAATTTCCAACTTTACACACGCTCGAGTAAACTCCATCGGCAATATCAGAATAAATTCCTCGCGACTCTGCAATTACTGTATTTTGCACAGCAACTGTAAGCGTGATTAAAGTTTGGATGTTGCTCTCGTGTCTCACATTTTTTTCAAGATAATTCAATAAAAATGCTTTCGCGCATACGAGGCAGAGAATACAGTTTATATTGTATTTCTCTTTCAAAAAATGTAATATCAGTATTACGAGTTATATTTCTCATTGTCTTCTCCTTTAGAACCTAAAAACTCACTCTTTTTTTTTTTTTTTTTTTATCAACGCAATATCAGATCGCAAGTATACGCGAAAAACTGAACTGAACTTAACAAAGCGCAATTGAACAAAAACCTACCTCGCTTCTTCGTTGTACAAGCAGGTTGAAAGTTGGAATGTTCGCGAAATTCGCGCGTTCGCGACACTAGCTCTCATTGAAAGAGTCAAACAATTGTTAGGTCCCGCATGTCTGAAAGTTTGTCCTAATTTTGGCACGTAGAGAATCGACCGGCGATGAGAACGAAATAAAACGAGCTAACTGCGAGGCGGGAGAGCGCGAGACGAGGGATTCCAAAACTCAACCTGAGCATGATACGAGAAAGAGAGAAAGAGAGAAAGAGAGAGAGAGAGAGAGAGAGAGAGAGAGAGATAGAGAGAGAGAGAAAGAGAGAAACTATCGATTAACTGTCTGCCACGTTGAGTCTCGCGCGGAGCGCATTGTCTTTTCGCGGCGCGGATATCGCAGCGCAGTGCTCGGAAAAAAAATATCCCGTAAACGCTTATTGCTCCAACTGTTTCGCATTCCATGGCAAACCGACCACAGAAAATTACGCATCCGTTTGCCAAGTTTTCGTACCGTACGGTTTCAACCGTAGGGTACGTAAAAATTCGAGAGCCTGTAGTTTTTCGATAAAGTTGAAAAAAAAAAAAAAAAAAAAAAAAAAAAAACGCGTCTAATATTCTCTTATTTGCGATAAATTTCTTTTCGAAAGAATTAACAAATCAAACATGGTGTTTGATTCGGTGTGTTGTTTTAGTGTTGGCGTGTATAAAGCAAAAAAGAAAAAAAACACTTNGTAAAAATTCGAGAGCCTGTAGTTTTTCGATAAAAAAAAAAAAAAAAAAAAAAAAAAAAAAAAAAAAACGCGTCTGAGATTTAAACTTTTTCTCTCTTTCTCTTTTCGAAAGAATTAACAAATCAAACATGGTGTTTGATTCGGTGTGTTGTTTTAGTGTTGGCGTGTATAAAGCAAAAAAGAAAAAAAACACTTACGACAATCATCTCGGATGGCTCGAGGACGAAACATTCGTTGGGTCTCCTGGCACTGCCACCCGTCCGCTTCCCGAAGCTGCAACACGGCAAGAAAACAAAATATTTCTTTATCACATTGCGCTCTCACATTTCATAAAAATATTTATACACCCGCGCGTAGAAGCCGCAGGCGTTTTATCGAGAGTCAATATTTCATTTTGACTTTTCTCGGGGATATCTCCGCATCGAGACGAGAAAAGGAAGCCTCTTCTGTGTGTGAAATTGTGATTCATCGTACAAAACTTCCCCCTCCCCTGCCGTCGAATTTCGTATCGTTCCGAATCGAACGAATATACGAGCTTTCGCGCGATTGTGTAAATACATATTATTGCTGTCCCGACATTAACTCCCACGACGGACTACGATCCAATATTGGTCTGCTACGCCATCGTGACAGATGTTTTCCCCCCCATCGTCGGAAAGGGCACTTCTCAAATTAACCGTAAAGGCACGGCTGATTGTCGGCAATATGGGAAGATATTCGCTGCGGTTACACAAAATGGGGGGTGTCACCGATATGCTATTGTCCAGACCGTTTTTTTCTGATAAAAGGAAAGCACAAGATCGAATCTCTCTATATATTAAACGTCCTCACCGCGATAATGAAAGAATAAAATGTCACTCCAATTTTTTTGACGATTATTATCACCGAAATAAATGTATCGTATGGATGTGTTTGCAGGTTATAAAAATAAACTTAATATTAATTTTGCAAAAATATAACAAACAATTTGCAACTCTCTTTAGAAACTAGATCAAAGAGATATTTATCTCTATTAATATATGAGCCATTTTTTTTTTAACTGATATAAGTTCATTTTTGGAAAAAAATGAGTTAGTGATAGTTTTAGAGTGAGACATAGATGTCTTCTTTTTATATTTATGATAACACACAAAAAAATGGACTTATAGCACTTTTAAAAAAACAACGGCTCATATTACCTATTATAATTAAACGAGTTAAAAATCAACAATATCGTGTTGTTCCACTGTGGGAGACCGCTTTTTCTCGCTGTTTTACTTTGTTTACACCTAACGCGAGTTATATCGTTTATCACGAAAAGTCCTCAATTTAACGGTGACGACTGCGAATCGAATGTCGATGCTCGACCGACCGAGAATCGGAAAAGCGAGACAGCAGATGAAGGAAAGAGAGGTTGCAGAAGGCCGTAAGGTTGTCGAAGGCTGTTGACCCGCGTGTTATCCCGTTTCCTCCCCTCGACTTATCCGCACACGAGCAAGAGCCGCGATGCGTAACGCACGCGTAACGCATGCGTAACGCACCGCTCGTCTCGATCCGCATGTGTGTGTGTGTGTGTGTGCGTGCGTGTGTACACTGTAGAAAATTCAATTCGACGTGGATGACGCGCGCCTCGTCTTCGCGCGTGTGTATCCTCGTTACAAGTTAACCCCGTAAATGTCGCGCGTTTTGCTTCCTCGGGATTATAATTATTTCGTCAGACATGTAGGTCGTTCGGTTCAAGCACGCGCGTCGAGACATTTCCGTCTCGGCTTAGAGTAGCAAGAACGGGAAAGAGTCGATCGATCGGCTTGAAATATTTGGTCAAGCCAATTTTCATGATGTTTGCTCGCTAATTACATTAGATTGATCAGATGATGAAATATATATTATATTACATATATTATATTACATATAGAAATAGAAATTTACATATACATATATTACTCGGCAACCGCGAAGAGAGAGATAAATTATGTAAAACCAAATGAAATATTTCAAATTAACTAAAGACTAGTTTTACATTACAAATGATTTAATTGTATAAATTTAATTATATATGATCTAATATAAATATCTTTGTTTCAAAAACAAAGTTATATTGAAAATTTTTATATCGAAATTGTTATATCGAAAACCGTTATATCGAAAGTGCAAATTAGATCTGTTCCGTTGATGTTTTCATTTTTAGTTTTGTAACTGATACTCAGAGTAAATACTCAAAGGTTTTTTTTATAAAATACGCGTGCACGCGGCAATGTCGAACCTCTTCGGTAAAAGTAACGGCGATTGGAGATACAACAATGTGTTCTCTGTAAATATTCTGTACAAAGTTGGAAAAAAGACTCGCAGCAACCGTGTGCATACATACATATGTATATGTGTATATATATATATATATATATATATATATACATACATACAATATAAAGTGAAAGCGCGGAAATTTAACAGAGGTCGGCATGGATGTTTTCCAGTAGTTTTGCAACCGATTCACCGTGCACTTGAGCTTGTTTTCCGCCAACGCGCTCACAGCGGAAGCAATCAAAGCACCCGCGCACAATCGCATCGAGTGTCGCGTACACGCTTTATGCCGCGCACTGGTGTGCGCGCGCGCGCGATGCAAACTTTTGTCCGGTAGTGTCTTTCTGTTCCCATTTCCCGAAATACATCCGTGGCGTACGCTCGTTATAATTCGCAGCGGACTTAACAGGGACCAAAGCGACGGTAGCATAGCCGGTCTCATTGTCGACAATCTCGCATGCCTGACCGTTCTCTCTATCTCTCTCTCTCTCTCTCTTTCTCTTCATTTGACGTCCATTTCGCGAAATTATCCGTGCCATTTCACGACATTAAGCCACGTGGATCCACTCAACGTAATGAAATATTTCTATGAAGCCGTTATGAGCTATTACCCTTTTCTCTCTATTATCATATCTTTTTAATCTTATTCATCGCGCTATTAGGCTGTCCTTTCACGCGTACGAGAGTGTGTGAAATTGCACGACGGTGGTTTTCGCTGGTTAGCACTATTCGTACTTGCGTCGGAATTGTGACATAAAGAGACGCGAAAGTATTTTTGTCAAAAAAGCGCGTGCGTCCATCTTGCGTGCGAGAGAATCGTCAGAGAGAGACAGAGAAACAGAGAGAACATTTTCTTCTATAAAATCTATTTTAAAAAAACTCACCTGTAATCAGATACTCTCCGCGCAATTTGCCCGACATTTTTTTTTCGCGCCCTAAATTTTTTTCGCGAGAAAATGTCACAATAGATTCACATTCATTCGTTCTTTCCTGTCACACCCGTAACAAATACAATAACAGAAGTATACACAGAGATCGATCTTCGTAACTCGATCGAATTTTTTCTTCTCAAAGTAATCCCAACTAAGACTCACCAAACGGAAAATCTCCTTCTGGGAAACGCGGGCGGCGGTGGCGGCTGAACGCGAGGGGCCCTATCAACGGACTCGCTTCTGAGGGCCTGTACCGCTTTGGGCACGGCTCTGAAGGGCTCGTGACAGGCTTTCGTGACCACGCTGCCGTTCCCAACGCCATCGTTGAAATTACCTGTACCGCCACCACCGCCACCGCCACCATGGAAGCTGTTCCATCTTCTCACCGGGCCCCTATTTGCCCCGTGATAGCCAGCATTATGGCCAGCTGAACCTCGAAGTTGGGTGGTGTGTTTGCGCATCCTCTCTCGACGATCCTCTCACTGATGATCCTTACGCCACCGGGACGCACCGGATTCATCCATTGTCTGTGTCTCGAGTGTGTTCCCGGATTGGCTTACATCTTCGACGCGTCTTTTTCGTCGTCGTTTTCGGCCGCGCGATACTTACTTTTCAAAAGTGATGGCGAAGAACGCGCGAAAAAGAATTGGATACTTTTTTTTTTTTCTTTTGTTCTTCAAAGCGGATTATTCTCGCCCGATAGTTTCCTAAATGGAGTTTCGAATGTAACTCGATATTCTCAAAATTGCGTTTGCGAGAGATTCGAAGATCGGCGCGAGCCAGCCGTCGATCGATTTTTCGAGTGAAAAGACGAGTAAGAACTGCGCGCGTCGCGTTGCGAAAAATAAAAATCGTTGCGTCTACACAAGTGCCACTATCAAAAAGTGTGTATTTCTTCTTTTGAAGTGTGTTGCGCGCTTAAAAATTTATAGAACGATATAAAACTCTCGTATGATACTCGTGTCGTAATATTCGCGCGTATAAAACGCAAGAACATGCATTTCTCTCGCCGCAACAATAAAGAAGAGAGACGCGACGCAATAATTTTTCTCACGGGGACAATATGTGAGCGATATATATTTGGACGATGCGCCAACTTGGCGACGAAAAGGTCGAGCAGAGAGTCAAGTGATTCTTAGTAGCTCGTTTCGTGACGTTTATTATGTGACCTTACGGTATCTCAATTTAATCGACTCGAACGAGCCTGTCTGATGAGAACGACGCAACAACGTCGCGTCTCCCGTTTCTTTCTTCGCGCCACATCTTATCGAACACCTCCCCCCTTTCCACCCCCCCACCGGTACGTTTGCCTGGAAGAGCGATAACGGGAGGGAGGAGATTTACACGGCGATAAAATTCTGATGTAAAGGGGAGTAGAATGTCGTGCAGAGACGCACAACGAGCCGCTTACACGAGTGTCGTATCGCAAGATTGCGATAAGCGCATCTCTCCTTCCTCGAATTACAAAACGAACGGTTCTAACGTTCCGTTTTGAAGATCTATTGTTAGAACACTTTCACAAATGAAAAAGTCGTCTGTCATATTTCGAAGAATATTACATAGAAATATAAAACATTTCTTATATATTTATTCACGATGGAAAAAAAAAATGGTGCACGAGTGAGCGGATGGAGAAGCGCGCGTAAGAAAATTGAAAAAAAAAAAAAAAAACCCACTTCTTTTGCTCTCGTGCAGTTTTTATTATCCTCTTTGCGGAGGATTTGCACTCTTTTTTTACATTTTGTTTTCCTACAATTCGACGCGCCGCGCGCACCGAGAATCATTATTCATCTGACAATCTGCCGCGCCCGGACGCGACGATTTGTCACGATGCATCAATAAAAACACATTTCTGCTCAATAAAGAAGTTCGAAATGTGATGTATACGCGAATGACGCGGCGATTTTTTACACACGTTCTGTCTCGTCGTTCACTTTTCGCGTGATTTTGTGCGCGGACGTTCGCCGACGTTTCGTGTATATCCGTGGGAAAAATCTCCTCGTGCAATTCAGCGCGTAAGAAATCTCGACGGAAGTATGAGTTCTAGAGAGAAAGAGAGAG